ATATATTGTTGATGGTTTGTTCTTACCCGTGATGGCAGCTTAGCTCTGAGCTCTATGTGTTACGGTGAGATCACTTCCTGTTTACATGCGGCGTGCTCCAGAGTCTGGGCCCTGCTGTGGGGGAGGAGCCTAGGAAGGGGAGCTGAGAGCAGGGGGGAGGGACTACAAGGTTGTTTCTGTTCAAAATTTTTCTAAGTTTTTGGGTTCCCAAGAAACTACATACAGCAGCTTTAAATGTTAAAGTAAAGAAGTAAAAGTATAATTTGTATGTTTTGAGTGCAGCAAAATAAAAGTAAAGTTACGATTTAATAAAACTTGTAAAATCCTGACAAAGATTACTTAAATACAAAGTAAATGTTACCTCTGCTGAGTACAAACCAAATATCTTACTGAGTACATAAATCTACTTGATAGTACTAATTAAATCCCTCCTTAGACTTTATTTTTTTTATTTTGTTAATAAATATGAGCTGCAGGACGGATGTTTCTACAGTGTCTGAATATAAAGTTTAAATAAGACACAGAATAAATACACATGTGACCAGTTCCTGAGTAACTATGTCTTCAGATCTCCTTTTGCCTTACAGATACAAACTTCAGAAAAAAAATTAAAAATTTTCTGTTTGCGTTCCTACGAGGTGACATCAGACGACCTGAACAGTCACATTTAAAGCACAGATTTCTTCAGAGACGATGAAATGACAAAAGGAGTGAAGGACTTGGTCAAATTCTGCATGAAGCAGGAATAAAAATGAATTTTTTTTTTTCAAATCTTTGAAGAAAACCTCATTAACCAGACAAACAAATGTGACTCTTGAAGAAAGTGCCCGTGTGTGAAGATCAGTTGTAGAAATTATCTTTAAAGCCTTCAGATCAACTCACATGACAAACAACTTTAATTCAAACAAAAGGCCTAAATGTGAAATAAGAATTTCAAATTAAAAGCCTTTGACTACTTTATAGTTCTAAACTGAATGACTTGAACTATATGAGCTAAATCTCATTAATGTGGTGTTTTTAATTATTTATTTGAACTTTTTTTTTCCAGAGTGGAGTGGTTATTAAACATACAACTTCAATAAGTTTTAGAAATAAGAAAAAGATTGAATTTATTGTGGATTGTCTCTTAAGTCAACACAAAGACTCCCTCTAGTATTTAGTTTCATGTCCCTTCAGTGACCATTTTGCCTCATATTTGGTAGATTTTAAACACATTTCATAAACTTTCATCAACAATAAAGTGGTTGGTTTAAGAGCTTCAGTTATTGTGGTTTATCCAATCAGAAACCAGCATTGATGCTTTATCCAATCAGAAAGCAGCTCTGATGCTTTATCCAATCAGAAACCAGCCTTTGTGTTTTGGGATTATTGTCCAGTTGGAACTGTCTCCATGTTTCAACCATCAAGCTGTTTAATTTGAGGTGAAGTTAAAGACTTCAGATCCTCKTTGGACCACAGCATGATGCTGCCACCACCGTGCCTGACAGTCGGTTCARGGTTTTTAGGTTTGACGGCCTCACCTCGACTCGTTCATGTGTTCAAACACCTCCTCTGATTGTGAAAATTGTTTCCAGAAGACATTTGGCTTGTCCTCGTGGACAGCTCCGGACTTGATCCTTGATGGTTCCTGAAGAACTGAACCAGTTTCCTTCCTTTGGAGGAGGACCGATGATGGATCAGCAGGTTCTAACCTTTTCCAGAGTAAATATAGAAAGTCTGGCTTTATGTCTGTATGCAAAACTTGTCGATTAAAGAAAACCCACAAAAATCCAAACTTGAATTTTCAATCGCTCCCCTCGTGATAAAAAGGTCACAGTGAACAGAAACTGACCCTACAGGAGCTGTAAACCTGTTAAATGTTTATTTTCCTGTATTTCTCTCAAACTTTCAGTGCAGAAGTTAAAGTAGAGGTGTAAAAAGCAAAGCTTGATGTCATTGTTTCACTGTTAAAGACTAAAACCACAGAGAAACAACTGAATTAAACTGATTTTTAAGTGTCAGGCTCTAAAACTGGGTCTGAAAAGACTTTCTACAGAATCTTTTCTTGTGTTCTCCTTTTTATTGAGTCATGATTTAGAGCTCTGAAAAGAAA